AATGGAGATTTTGCAATATCCTTCCCCCAGGACTGGGGAGGGAGTGGAGATTTTGCAGTATCCTTCCCCTGCCACGCCCATCAAGCCATGCCCACCAAACCAAACCACACCACACCCACCAAACCACACCCACAGAACCGGTAGAAAAAAATTTGGATTTCACCATTGGTCCAGGGGTGAAATGCTCCTGGTTCGGACCGGATCACCCGATCCGGTAGCGATGGAGGCGGGTGGTTCAGAGAACCGGTAGCAAAAATCCCTGCCCCCCACCCCCCACCCAGCTGAGCTGCACAATCATCAGAGGCATTTTAAAAAAAATTTAAAAGCATTTTTTCTACAACCTCTTCGGCGAATAGGTTGTAAAAAAAATGCTTTCAAAAGGCTCTGACGATCCCAGCTGAGTTGCCTGATTGGCAGAAGCTTTTTTTCTTTTAAAAGCCTCTGACGATCCCAGCTGAGTTGCCTGATCGGCAGAGGCTTTTAAAAGAAAAAAAGCCTCTGCCAATCAGGCAACTCAGCTGGGATTGTCAGAGCCTTTTGAAAGCATTTTTTTTACAACCTATTCGCTAAAGAGATTGTAGAAAAAATGGTTTTAAAAGTTAAAAAAAAATGGCCACGCCAACCCAGTCACATTACCCCCACCACCACCAAGCCACGCCCACAGAACCGGTAGTAACAAATTTTAGATTTCACCACTGCACTGGTCTAGTTAGTCTAGAGGAAAGAAGGACTAAGGGGGACATGATAGCAGTATTCCAATATTTGCGGGGCTGCCACAAAGAGGAGGGGGTCAACCTATTTTCCAAAGCACCAGAGGCAAGACAAGAAATAATGGAGGGAAAATAATCAAGGAGAGAAACAATTTGGAATTAAGGAGAAACTTCCTAACAGTGAGGACAATTAACCAGTGAAACTGCTTGCCTTCAGATATTTTGGGTGCTTCATCCCTGGAGGTTTTTAAGAAGTGACTGGACAGTCACTTGTCTGAAATGGGGTTGGACTAGAAAGCCTCCAAGGTGCCTTCCAGCTCTATTCTGATTGATTGGTTGACCTGATCCCAAGGACACATGAAACACAAGCTAGGCCTTGGCAACCAGCCTGCATTTAAAGCTGGTTTTATGGCATCTCACAGTCAAGTGACCACATTTTACAACGATTTTTTGGAAAAATGGCATTTTATTTCCAGTTTGGGCAAAATAGGCCCATCGCAAATGATGGGTTGGCTTTACGACTGCCTTATTCGCCTACGACTGCAGTGTTTCCTTTACGATCACAGTGTTCACTTAATGACTGCTGCAAAAGAAATCATAGAATCACAACTGGGGTCACAGCATTTTGTGCCGTGGCACCTGTCCGCTGGAGTATCTTCTCCCACTTCCCCGGGATCAGATCTGCTTCCACTCTTTTGACCTTCCGAAAGGCATAGAAGACATGGTGGTGCCAACTAGCCTGTGGCGCCAAAAAGGGTGTGGCATTTCGGAAGCGGCTAATGGAGCAGCAGCTCCTCCTCCTTTTGCGCACTTTGACCCCTCCCTCTCCATCCCGCTCAGTTTTATTTTAATTGCACTTTAAATTTAAGATCTTCATTTAATTGTTTTAATGTTTGACGCAGGTAGGCCTTGGCTTGTGACCACAATTGAGCCAAAAATTTCTGTTGCTAAGTGAGACAGTGGTTAAGTGAGTTTTGCCCCACTTTGTGACCTTTCTTGCCACAGTTGTTAAGTGAATCACTGCAGTTGTTAGGTTAGTAACACAGTTATTAAGTGTATCTGGCTTTGTCAGAAATGATAGCCAAATCTGGCCCTAGGTTCTGCCTTGATTTACCTTCCCAATAAGCAACTGAGTCGGAAGATCATTTAAAAGCAGTTTATTAGGGTACCCTGATAAAGTGGGATCTCTCTATGAAAAAGGAGAGAGAGAACCCTGAGCCCCATGTTACATTCCTTTTTAGAGTTAACGCAACAAAGAAAATGCAAGAGGAAAGTTGATTGGACAGGGTAAAAGTATGCATAGAAAATCAATTACATATAGTCAAACATATCACATATTTGCATCCCATAATACCACACAACAGTGGTGAAATCCAAATTTTTTTATTACCGGTTCTGTGGGCATGGCATGGTGGGCATGGCAGGGGAAGGATACTGCAAAATCTCCATTCCCACCCCATTCTGGGGCCAGCCAGAGGTGGTATTTGCTGGTTCTCCGAACTACTCAAAATTTCCGCTACCGGTTCTCCAGAATCTGTCAGAACCTGCTGGATTTCACCCCTGCCACACAAGTTCATTAAAATGAGGTCTGATATCAGAAGGGGTGTAAATTGTAAGGAAAAAAGTTGTTTGGAATTCACAAAAGAGATAAACCAGACCCCAATTTGTACTAACCAACGCTTTCTTATCTGGAGCTAATCTCCAGCCTATCAGTTTAGGAATGTTAAAAGCCAATAAACCTGAGCATCTTTTTAAAAGAGAGAAAACAAAGTAAAATACAAAATAACTACAGTATGTTAGTTACAAAAGTTACAAAATCCATGTCATGTGCCCTTCAGAAAGTCGCAAAAGGTGATCCTATGACCCTGGGACATTGTAACCGTCATAAATATGAGACAGTTGCCAAGCCTCTGAATTTTGATCATGTGATCATGGGGATGTTAAAACGGTCGTTAAGTGTAACTTGTAACTTGTAACTTTGAACAGTCTCTAAACGAATGGTTGTAAGTCAAGGACTAAACTGCGGAGCATTTTAATCAATATATGCTGCCTAGAGTTAGTTGCCTCTGGTGAGCTGGGCGACATACAAGTTTAATAAGTAAATAAATCAAGTCACGGCACTGATTTATAGGACTGATATCAATGAAGCAGTTTCGCATTGAAAGAGCAATGGCAGAGAATCAGAGTAAACATCTATTTTTGTGTTACTTCCTGAAATAACTAGAAATAGCAGAGATATCACCCTGAAGGCTAATTTCATGAGCAGCCCAGCATGGAAAGAGCTTAGCAACAGAAGTGACTAAGAAAGTTTCCTCTTTGACCTTTGCTTTTCGCTGTTTTCTCTTCGGATACACTTCTGTGTTTTGTTTGGCTGATCCTGATCCTATTATCTTTAGCTGAAAGGTTTTACCTCAGGATCAGACTTTCTCAATTTTGGCAACTTTAAGATGGGTTAGACTTCAACTCCCAGAAGTCCCCAGCCGGCATGCTTGTAAGTTGAGGACTACCGTCCTATAGCGATTCTCATTTGTGAAAGCTGGAACAGGAGTCCCCAACTCCCGGTCCATGGATCACCACTGGGCTGTGGCATGCCAGCAACTGGGCCACGTAAACAAGCGAAGCCCCATCCACAGGATTCAGGCAGCACACGAAACCACACATTCTCTGGTCCATGGAAAAATCTCTCCACAGAACTGGTCCCTGGTGCCCAAAAGATTTGGGTTTAGAAAAATAGAATAATGGAGTTGGAAGGGAGATCTTCTACTCCAACCACCTGCTTAGGCAGGAAATCCTATACTATTTCAGATAAATTGTGGTCCAATCTCTTCTTAAAAACTTTCAGTGTTGGAGCATTCACAACTTCTAGAGGCAAGTTGTTCCACTGATTAATTGTTCTAACTTTTAGGAAATTTCTCCTAGGTTGTTTCTCTCCTTGATTAGTTTCCATCTATTGCTTTTCATCCTGCCCTCAGGTGCTTTGGAGAATAGGCTGATCCCTTCTTCTTAGTGGCAGCCCCTGAGATATTGGAACTCTGCTAACATATCAGTGACAGAAAGTCCACAGGTGGGTAGAAGGTGGCTGACAATCCATCAGATCTGTAAAAGGATGGATGGAAACTGAACAAGGAGAGATTCAACCTGGAAACGAGGAGGAATTTTCTGACAGTGAGAACAATCAACCCATGGAACAACTTTGCCTTCAGAAGTTGTGGGAACTTCATCACTGGAAGCTTTCAAGAAGAGACTGGACTGTCATCTATCAGAAATGGTGTAGGGTCTGCTTGGGTCAGAAGCTGGAATCGGTGACCTACAAGGTTCCTTCCAACTTGATCTTGGAGTCTTAGTGGGCAATCAGCTAAATATGAGCCAGCAGTGTGCAGCAGCAGCTAAAAAAGCCAATGCAATCCTAAATTGCATTAACAGAGGGATACAATCAAGATCAAGTGAGGTACTAATACCACTCTATAAAGCCTTAGTAAGACCACACCTAGAACACTGCATCCAGTTTTGGTCACCACACTATAAAAAAGATGTTGAGACTCTTGAAAAAGTACAGAGAAGAGCAACCAAGATGATTAGGGGACTAGAGGCTAAAACATATAAAGAATGGTTATAGGAACTGGGCATGGCTAGTCTAGTGAAGAGAAGGACCAAGGGAGACATGATAACCGTCTTCCAATATTTGAGGGGCTGCCACAGAGAGGAGGGGGTCAACCTGTTTTCCAAAGCACCCGAAGGCCAGACAAGGAATAATGGATGGAAACTGACCAAGGAGAGATTCAACCTAGAAATGAGGAGGAACTTTCTGACAGTGAGAACAATCAACCAATGGAACAAAGTTGTGGCAGCTTCACCACTTGAGACTTTCAAGAAAAGATTGGACTGCCATTTGTCAGAAACGGTGTAGGGTCTTCTGCTTGAGCGGGGGGTTGGACTAGATGACCTGTAAGGTCCCTTCCAACTCTGTTAATCTGTTATCTGTTAAAAGCGAACTATGTATTAAGAAGGGGAGGCCTGAAGAAAGGAAAAACAAAGCTCCAAGTGAACCCAGCGTGTTGCAGATGTGCCATGGGAAGGAGGCAGACTTTCGTTAACCATCTTCCCCCAAGTGTCTGCGACAGGGGAAGTGGTTGTAGAAACTGAAGGTTGAGCAAGTCGAAGAACGAAAACCATCCACACACCTGTCTGTTTCCTTTGCTGCTCTGGCCAGCCGGGGGGAGGGGGAGGGGAGAGGGGGGGTTGGTGTGTGTGTTTGTGTGAACGAGAGATGATCCGATGGCTGCCTGAAGCCGAGCAGCATGCCAGAACAGGAAGCCTGTGGTTTCCCGTGTAGAAATCGAGGCGTAGCCAGGCAGAGCTGAGAGAGAGAGAGAGAGGCAGCGGAAGCAGCAGTAGGAGAAACTCTCTCAAAGCAACCGTCCGAATGAGCTGACATGGAGGAAGGCCAGACGCCAGCCAAGCCAGAGCGAGAACGAAGGGGATGAGGAATGGAGCGCTGCCGGAAACTGCCAGCGGTGTGAAAGCAAGAGGACCAGAAAGGTGAGAGGTGGGGTGCCAGAAGGACTTGTTTCATGAAGTTGATTTTGTTTAGAGACAAGGAAATCTTCTGCGTAGGAGGTGGCTTTTCAGCTCAGAGGTTCTGAATAGGCCTAATGGCCTGGGACCTTAAGCCAGGAATTTCTCAATCTTGGCAGCTGGAAGATGGGTGGACTTCAACACCCAGAATTCCCCAGTCAGCACTGGGGAATTCTGGGTGTTGAAGTCCACCCATCTTCCAGCTGCCAAGATTGAGAAAGATGTAACTCCAATCTGCCGTCTTCCAGATTCTTTGGGGTCCAACCCCATAATTCTAAGTCAAGACCCAAAGCTGTGAAGATACGATTTTTCTTGATTAGGGTAGAGGTTGGGCTGTAAGGATATTTGATCTGGTGCCTGGGGGATGTTTCTAAGCATGGTGCTTCTAACCATGTTTAAAAGATTGTGGTGAGCCACCTTGTATGAGATAAGCAGCCACACAAGTCCGGTAAATAGATAATAAACAGACAAAACCAGACAGTGGCTGACAGAGAGCTTCCTGGATACGGGGGACTACAGCCCCCAGCATTTCTAAGCAGTGTGCGGTGACTGGGAATTCTGGGAGTTGTGTGCCCCAATAGGATCGCACTGGGGAAAGTTGGCATAGTCATAATCAAAATGTACTGGAGGTTTTTATTGCAAATGGTCACAGAGAGAGTCAAAGAGGACGATGTCGTGGGTTTTGGCTGTTGATAACCATGGATCTTTATTAACCAGGTTGCTAATATGAGGAAGGAGAAACTGGGCCGAACTAGAAACATGGCACTAGGGTTGCCAGGTCTGCTTCCAAAAAATAGCGGACAAGCGGGGGGGAGGGGGGGGGTTAAGTAGTAAAAAAATAAATAAAAAATTACAATTAAATTATATATTTTCTTACAAACATTTTAACACGCCATTTTAGGTCAGTCGACACAAGCTACAATACATTTTAAAAATGTGAACTGTACATAATTTTATAATATATTTTTATTTTAATCTCATCATTAATTTTTTCGGAGAATCGAGTTCAATAAGATATTTGCTCTTTGTCTCATTCTAACTTATGAAAAAAAAAGACAAAACGCGATTCTCCTATCCTTATTCTCTTAGACTGTACAGCTTTAGATTACGTACCATTTCATCATAAAGCTTTTGAATAAAAAAAAATGTCCACTATTTTGTGAAAAAAAAATAGTGAACATAATGTGAAAAAAGTGGACTGTCTGCTCAAATAGTGGACACCTGATGTAGGAACTGGAACTGGAAATCTTTGCCACGTCGTGGTTTTCTCAAACCTGGACTGTTTTGTGTCTTTAATAGATAAAGGAGAAAAATAATACCAGGATATTGTAACATGCTAGCTGGGAGGAAGACTTGATTTGATCAAGTTTAGGGCAGAGGAAATGCCGAAATAACTCCCCCCCACCCCCCACCCCCAATTTGGCCAGAAGAGGGGCTTAATTATCATTATCATTGCAACAAGGCCAAACAAGCCATTAACATGTCCCCAGTAAAATATACTGTACATCTGTGCAATTGTTATGGCATAACCTACTAAGTGGCAGGACAGTTCTGATCCATCCTATATTGAGAATGAAGCAAAGTGAAAATCAGAATCCTGAATTTTAGGGTTCAAAACTCCGGCAATTTAACACTGAATACCCTCTCAGGTGAGACGGCTTATGAATCTCCCCTCCCAAGGGAATTGTTTGTGGCTGTTGTTAAGATCTGATCACATTTCACTTTCATAAAAAATAAGGCAGTAAAAAATGCAAATATTTCTGGCCAGGACGGTCTATATTTGTGGCTGTTTGAAGTATTTTAAAGAGAATGCAAGCTTTGGAACCTTGGTTTGCAAGGAGAGAAGCAACCTAGAACTAAGAAGAAATTTCCTAACAGTGAGAACAATAAACCAGAGGGAACGGCTTGCCTTCAGAAGTTGTGGGTGCTCCATCACTAGAAGCTTTTAAGAAGAGACTGGACAGCCACTTGTCTGGGATCGTATAGGGCAGGGGTGTCAAACTCGCGGCATCACGGCGGTGTCACGTGACGTATTGGGACTTTCCTCCCGCTTCGCTAAACTGGGCGGGGGCAGAGGCAGCATATGACGCAACCGGCCCATGGGCCACGAGTTTGACACCCCTGGTATAGGGTCTCCTGTTGGAGCAGGGGGTTGGACTAAAAGACCTCCAAGGGTCCTTGCAGCTCTGTTATTCTGTTACAGTTCCCACGTACAAAGTCCACGTAGACATTTAAGTGAATATCATTGGTGTTATAGACCAGCAGAGCCAGACAAAATTAGATTGAGGAAGTCTGGCTTAACAGGGAACTCATTATTTGAGTGTGACACCCTAATGCGGGCAAAACAACTCTACTTACGCCACAAGGTGGATCAACAGCTGCTTTGGAGAAGAACGGAAGATTTGCAGGACTAATTATCCATCTGTAAAAAGGGGAGACGAGAGAAATTAACCGGAAGTAAAATCATTTCATTTTTTTTTTTTTTTCTGTTAAGGCTAGTCTTTAAACTAGCAAGAGGAAAAACAATTGAACAGATTTTTGTGGAAGGCAATATTTTTCTGGAATATTACTGATTTGCAGAAATATTTTATAGTGCAGGATCCAATCTGGGTCGGTCACAGGGACCAGAGGTTTAGTCTTCTCAGTTTTCGGATATATTTTACTGCCTTGGTAAGGCCACACTTGGAATATTGCATTCAGTTTTGGTCGCCACGATGTAAAAAAATGTTGAGACTCTTGAAAGAGTGCAGAGAAGAGCAACAAAGATGATTAGGGAACTGGAGGCTAAAACATATGAAGAACAGTTGCAGGAACTGGGCATGGCTAGTTTGATGAAGAGAAGGACTAGGGGAGACACGAGAGCAGTGTTCCAATATCTCAGGGGTTGCTACAAAAAAGAGGGGGTCAAACTATTCTTCAAAGCACCTGAGGGTAGGACAAGAAGCAGTGAGTGGAAACTAATCAAGAAGCAATTTAGAACTCAGGAGAAATTTCCTGAAAGTTAGAACAATTAATAAGTGGAACAACTTGCCTGCAGAAGTTGTGAATGCCCCAACACTGGAAATTTGTAAGATGTTGGATAACCATTTGTCTGAAGTGGTGTAGGGTTTCCTGCCTGGGCAGGGGGTTGGACTAGAAGACCTCCAAGGTCCCTTCCAACTCTGTTATTCTATTCTATTATTCAACATTTTGTTGCTGTTCCCCTTTTTTACGATATATTTCCATCCTTGCCACTGTCTGTATTGCATACAGCAATTTCTCTGTATGGAAACAGGGTGAAAGAGAAGAAAGTAGGCAGTTTGCAGAGAATCATGCATGAAGTGTGTTCAGAATACAGGTACTATAGGCCTTGTTTATGGGACGCGGTGGCTCAGTGGCTAAGACACTGAGCTTGTCGATCGAAAGGTCGGCAGTTCAGCGGTTCGAATCCCTAGTTCCATGTAACAGGGTGAACTCCTGTTACTTGTTCCAGCTTCTGCCAACCTAGCAGTTCGAAAGTACGTAAAAAATGCAAGTAGAAAAATAGGGATCACCTTTGATGGGAAAGTGACAGCGTTCCATGCGCCTTTGGAGTTTAGTCATGCCGGCCACATGACCTTCGGACAGAGCTGGCTCTTCGAGTTTGAAACGGAGATGAGCACCACCCCCTAGAGTCGGAAACGACTAGCACATATGTGCGAGTGGAACCTTTATCTTTACCTTAGACCTTGTTTAATAATGCTAACTTCATCATTAAGTAACACAGTCATAAATTTAAAAACTATACTGCTGCACATACACTCATATATATATATATATATATATTAATTTGATTTATATGCCGCCCTTCTCTGGAGACTCAGGGCGGCTTACAATGCGTTAAGCAATAGCCTTCATACTTTTGTATATTTATACAAAGTCAGCTTATTGCCCCCACAAACTGGGTCCTCAATTTACCTACCTTAGAAAGGATGGAAGGCTGAGTCAACCTTGAGCCTTCCACACATAGATCTCACACACAATTTTTCAACTTTCAATTTCCAAACATTAGGGGTGCTCAAAAACTGTGACGTGCCTTGGGGATTGTAAAGATATTTTGGTTACTTTAATATAATTTAGTTGTGCTTGGTAAGTAACTACATACATACAACTTTTAAACATTTTGTTTAATTTGCCGTACATATATATACATACTTATCTGCATGCTAGCACACACAGATGCACACATGGTATTGCGACACAACCTACACTTACAGATGAAACTGAAACTCCTTGTTGTACATATTTTAGCTCTTAACTAGAGTGAATAGGCATAACGGGAATCAGGCTGAAAAACTGTAGTAGGAGTGCAAGTGGCAGCTAGGCAAACAGAATAATAGAGTTGGAAGGGACCTTGGAGGTCTTCTAGTCCAACCCCCCTGCTCAAGCAGGAAACCCTATACCAGGGATGGCTAACATTTTTGCCATCGCGTGCCAAAATCGGGGGGGGAACGCAGGGGGTCGCGCGCGCATGTGCCCACACCCATAATTCTATGTGTCCTGCCCCACCACGCATGCGTGTGCGGCCCCCCCCATACCTTTCCTTTTGGCACGTGATGGCACGGTGGGCCCAGTAGGCCCATTTTTTGCCCTCCCCAGGCTCCAGAGGCTTTCTAGGAGCCTGGGGATGGTGAAAACGACCTTCCCCAACCCCCCAGAGACCCTCTAAAGGCCAGAAATGGCCTGTTTGCCGACTTCCAGTGGGACCAGAAGGCCCATTTTTCGCTCTCCCCATGCTCCAGAGCCTTTCTAGGAGCCTGGGGAGGGCAAAAATAGGTCTCCCCCCCCCCGGAGGCCCTCCGGAGGCCGGAAACAGCATGTTTCCCAACTTCTGGTGGGTCCAGAAGGCCCAAAAATCAGCTGGCCAGAGCTGAGCTCGCGTGCCCACCGATATGGCTCTGTGTGCCACCTGTGGCACGCGTGCCATAGGTTCGCCATCACGGCCCTATACCATTCCAGACAGTCCAGTCTCTTCTTAAAAGCCTCTAGTGACGGAGCACCCACAACTTCTGAAGGCAGGCCGTTCCACTGATTAATTGTTCTGTCAGGAATTTTCTCCTTAGTTCCAGGTTGCTTCTCTCCTTGATTAGGTTCCATTCGTTGCTTCTTCTCCTGCCTTCTGGTGCTTTGGAGAATAGGTTGACCTCCTCCTTTTTGTGGCAGCCCCTCAGATATTGGAACACTGCTATCATGTCACCCCCAGTCCTTCTTTTCACTAGACTGGACATACCCAAATCCTACAACCCTCCTTCATGTTTTAGCCTCCAGTCCAGCCCCCTAATCATCTTTGTTGCTCTTCTCTGCACTCTTTCCAGAGTCTCAACATCTTTTTTTTATAATATGGTGACCAAAACTGGATGCAGTATTTTGAGCGTGGTCTACTTTGAAGCCATAGTCTGGATACTTTACAGCAGGGGTGTCAAACTCGCAGTGTCATGTTATCATCACTTGACGTATTGCGACTTTCCCCCTCTTCATTAAACTGGGGGTGGGCATGGCCAGCCCGAGATGCATTCACAAGTTTGACACCCCTGTTTTACAGTATAGGTGTGGAAAAACAGTCATAAATCACTGTTTTTCAGAGCCGTTGTAACTTTAGTCACTAAAACAAATGGTTGTAAATGGAGGACTATCTGTAGCAACTTGGATAGGCAGCTTTAACAGACAGTACTTTTTTTTTCCCCACACATGTCTAAAAAAAAAAGACTTGGCCACTGCTGCTTTTCTCCCAAGTAAACTACTATTAAGATCCCAGGAGCAGGAAGTGACTTTTTCCCTTGGTAAATTGGCAATCCCAATTCCATTTCTTTGTAGACTTGCCTCTCCCTTCCATTGTCTTCCTAATTGTTCCACTGATAAATTTACAAGACATGGAGCCAATCTATTTGTGTATATTTCTCTCCTCCACCCCCAAACAAAGAATATGATTTATGTTTATGTTTAAATGCCTATGTGCTGACGGCAATATACGCTTGAATTAAATGCATTTTTAAAAAAGTCCTGTTTTATTCAATCTTAATTTTTTTTATTTGTGTTTTTATAACCTGCCCTTATGTACTATATATATATTTAATATATATGTTAATTGTTTTAATTAAAAATAATTTCAACTGTATAATTTTTGATGATGATGTTATCCATTCAGTCAAGTGTGACTCATGGTGTTTTGATGGGCCAGGTCTCTCCATAACTTCTTTTCTTGCACTTAGAATAGAATAACAGAGTTGGAAGGGACCTTGGAGGTATTCTAGTCCAACCCCCTGCCCAAGCAGGAAACCCTACACCACTTCAGACAAATGGTTATCCAACATCTTCTTAAAAACTTCCAGTGTTGGAGCATTCACAACTTCTGGAGGCAAGTTGTTCCACTGATTAATTGTTCTACTGTCAGGAAATTTCTCCTTAGTTCTAGGTTGCTTCTCTCCTCGATTAGTTTCCACCCATTGTTTCTTGTCCTGCCTTCAGGTGCTTTGGAGAATAGATTGACTCCCTCTTCTTTGTGGCAACCCCTGAGATATTGGAACACTGCTATCATGTCTCTCCTAGTCCTTCTTTTCATTAAACTAGACATACCCAACCATTCTTCACATGTTTTATCCTTCAGTCCCCTAATCATCTTTGTTGCTCTTCTCTGCACTCTTTCTAGAGTCTCAACATCTTTGATTTTTTTTCTATGCTGGTGTCATCTTTGATGTTGTCCAGCTATTGTGTTCTTTGATGGCCTGGTTTATTTATTTATTTATTTATTAGTCATATTTCTATGTTGCCCATTCTCCGAGGACTCTGGGCGGCTTACACCGAAGACAGTATACTAAATAGCATATTGCCCCCAACAATCTGGGTCCTCATTTTACCCACCTCGGAAGGATGGAAGGCTGAGTCAACCTTGAGCCGGTGAGATTTGATCCGCTGATCTGCTGAACTAGCACTCAGCTGAAGTAGCTGCAGTACTGCACTCTAACCACTGCGCTACTTTTACCGCTAATTCTTCCATGCACAATTGCTTTCTCCAGTGAATTCCTCCACATGATACGGTCAAAATAAATGAGATGCAGTTTTGTGGTATTGCCTTTCAGTGACATGTCTGGTGTTATGTGTTCAAGTACTTGAGGGGTCCTTGGTGCTCTCTGAGCTTGCTTGTTTTCTTACAGATGTTTCATTACCCTAACTAGGTAACATCATAATTAGCACTGATTATGATGTTACATCTGCAAGAAAACAAGCAAGCTCAGAGAGCACCAAGGACCCCTCATTTCAATCCTGAGCTACAAATATTCTCTTTTATTGGTTCAAGTACTTGCTTCTTAGACACCTTTGCTGTCCAAGGAATTTGCAGGAACCTTCTCCGGTACCACAGCTCAAACGAGTCGATTTTCAAAACCATCTTTTCACTCGGAACTCCTACACCTGAAATTCTCAAATAGGACTTGAATCTGTTTCTTTTTTCTTCTAGCGAAGCAGAAAATCCTTCCACATAGAAGAGTCTTCAGACAATCCATTTGGAGCAAGTTAAAGAAAAATGGAGCATGAAATGAATGCAATAGGAGAAGAACAGACACCGAAGAGTGATGCTTCGGATGCAGAGACGGCAGGAACGGCAGGAAAACGGGTAAGGGGCCCATCTGTCAAGCAAAGGCACCTTATGCAAACATTATCGGTCCCTATCACTTGAGGGAAGCTGTAGCATAGGATCGACCCCAAGGATGCAAAAGAACAAGTTAAAAACACACAAAGAGGAAACTTTTCCCTGAACAGTAGTTGGGAATGAGCGTAATGGGAGAGATGGAATGCAGCTAGAAAAGCAGAAAGAGGAGAATGAATTGGCCCTTTAAGAAAAAAACCATAGAGCAGCCTTCCTCAGGGTCCTGCCTTCCAGATGTGGCCGAATGTTAATTCCTGTAATTCTTCTAGTCATCTCTGACAGCAGCCCTAAAATAACTGGAGTGATATTTGCCGATCTTGGCAATGTTAAGATGTATGGACTTCAATTCCCAGAATTCCACGCCAGAATGCTCCTGGTGGAACCTGGAAAAAGATGGCGCTGCTTTAAAGGGACTCAACAACTCATTAAAGCATCTGTGTCTTCTTAGCACCACCAACCCATCCTTCAGCGAGGGCCTATATGCCTTTTTATTTTTAGGTTTTCAAAATGTGGATCCTGCCTTTCCAAACTAGGTTTCCCAAGCAATAAGCCATGCTAGAACAGAGATAAAGCCTTTCGGTAACGTTCTAAATTAGAATATGCAACAATATCTTACAGGTGTTCGATGTACAAACACAACTGAGCTCAAAATTCCCATTCCTAAGCCAAGAGAGTTAAGTGACTTTTGCCCCATTTTACAATCGTTCCTGCCAGCATTGTTAAGTGAATCACTGCAGTTGTTAAATTAGTGACACGGCTGTTAAGTGAATTTGGCTTCCCTGTTGACTTTTGTTGTCAGAAAGTCATAAAAGGTGATCAAATGACCGTGGGACACTGACTGTCATAAATACATGCCAGTCAGGGCTGGGCTTCAAATATTTTAGCAAGGGGTTCTCTGTCCGGTTGCTGGGTGGGCATGGCCATGGTGGGTGTGACCTAGTCAGCCTCCTGCACCACAGTGGGGGGGGGGTGCGTTTTTGTCCTCCCCAGGCTCTAGAGGCTTTCTTTGAGCCTCCGGGATAGTAAAAATGGCCTCCCTAGGCTCCAGAGACCTTCTGGAGGCCGAAACAGGCCCAATCTTCTGGTAGGCCCGTTTTTCACCCTCCCCAAGACTCTGTGTGCGCCCTGTACTTACCTGCATCCAAAACAGGCTGCGTGGGGACTTCTGGGAGAGGAGGGGTGGGGTGGGCAGGGCCAGCCAGGAGTGGGATTGGGGGGGGTCCTCTGAACTGCATAGAATCTTAGCTAGAGGTTCTCCCGAACCCCCAGCGAACCCCCAGCAGCCCACCCCTGATGCCAGTTATCAGGTGTCTGGATTTTGATAATATGACCAGGAGGATGCTGCAAGCAACAGTTGTATAAGAATGAAAAAAATGATCATAAGTCACTGTTTTCAGTGCCGTTGTAACTTAAAACGGTCACTACAAAGGGATGGTTTTAAGTCGAGGACTACCCGTAATCCTTCAGTAAGATTCTAAAACGGTTGAAACGTACAACAATATTCTAATTAAAACGCAGCCTGTTTTAAAAGCACTGTTTCTCAGTTTTGGAAACTTGAAGATGCTGCTGGCTGGGGAATTCTGGGAGCTGAAGTCCACACATCTTCAAGTTTCCAAGGGTGAGAGACACTGTGCTAGGTTCGATTCAGATAAGCACCCCATTCCACTTTTCTTTCTCTTGCTTTCCGAATCCAGAGCCTCACTTCTCAAGTTGAATTCAGTGCTCTGCCAAGCCAGAGTCCGGTTCTGCGCTCGAAGCCACGAACTCAGAAGCACGCCCTTGTCCGTCCCTGGAAATCGCTGCCTCCCACTCCTTCGGGATTACTGGAAAAAGACCAGAAAGGTAAGAAGAGATCTGCATATTTGTCCTCTCTTGTTTCCTAATATAGGTGGGTCTAGGTCTAGGACTTGTCCCATTCTGATATAGGTTGTTGTTGTTAGTTGCGAAGTCATGTCCGACCCATTCCGACCCCATGGACAACGTTCCTCCAGGCCTTCCTGGCCTCTGCCATCCCCTGGAGTCCATTTAAGCTCACGCCGACTGCTTCAGTGACTCCATCCAGCCACCTCATTCTCTGTCGTCCCCTTCTTCTTTTGCTTTCAATATTTCCCAGCATTAGGCTCTTCTCCAGTGAGTCCTTCCTTTAGGAGACCAAAGTATTTGAGTTTCATCTTCAGGATCCGGCCTTCTAAAGGGCAGTCAGGGTTGATCTCCTCTAGGAGTGACTGGTTTGATCGCCTTGCAGTCCAAGGGATATATATATATAACATAGGTAGTCCTCAGCTTATAACAGTTCATTTAGTGAGAGTACAACAGCAAGTTTGAATTTTTTTTTCTGTCTTGTTTATAATACAATGTGTTTCACTAATTTAGAAAATTGTGGGGATCCAGGAATCAAGTTTACAGAGTGAAGATTCCATTCAGGGTGTTTTCCACTTATTTTATTTCTTTTTTCCCCCTCTGTAGTAGAGAAAAAAAATTAGGATACCCCCCTTCCTTTAATTCAGTAATGTATACTATTTATGAATATAGAAGTTTGACGCTACTTTAAAAATCATGAAACGAAATGGCTGGGGTGATAAAATAGTGCTGAGTTTCGAAAGGCAGATATATTTGGCATTCCTCATTAATTAGACCCTCTGTGTCACATCAGAAGAAAAATTGTGTACTTAGGTTGTATAAGTACACTATAAGCACACTTTCCACAGTAGGAAATCTATTGTGGTTCAATGGTTTAGCTGAGAAAATTGGATGTCTGCTCAGCACTGCCCCCCTGTGGCAAAGAACAAGACCTCCGCCAAAGTTCAATTTTTATCCCAAGGAGTCAAACTATATTGTAGACACCTTTTTATGCGCATGATGGATATCCTTTTGCTTTTCATTTTTTGCATTTGGTATCTGACAAAAGCCAAAAGCCAACTGCCCGACAAAATAAGCCGCTGTTATTTTCTTACTTCCTAATTATAACGTAAGCTCAGTTTTACTTTAAAAAAAAAAAAAAAAACAAGAACTTTGGGGAACTCTCTTCAATTTTGCAACAGAAACTTCCAGCACTTGGTATGAAATGTGGACTAAGCCAATTTAGTTTAGAAGGGACAGCGATTAAAATTCCCACAAGATGCAACTTTGACGCTAGTTTCAGCAATTGTTCTTGCACAATTGTTTTTCTCAAAAGAATGTGTTCATGAGCAGCAAAGTGTTGGAAGAAATATCCATCTGGTTCAGTTCCAAACTGGGAGAAAGGCACTGGAGACAAAATGGAGGCTGGAGGCTGATTGGAAAAAGGGTCCATTTATTGATGAACAGGGACCACACGTTTGTGGTTCTGGTGCAGCTGATCAGATGGAGTTGAGAGTGGGGGGTATTTATACCTTCTCTTGGGCTTTGCACTAGAACTTCCTGTTCCTGTGCAAGAACATGTATTCTATTGGCTGTTGTCAGACTCCCATGGTGTCATGTACAAAACCTAGGAGTTTGTCTGAGCTACGTTTGGTGGAAGTTTAAAATGCTGGGGGTGGTACAATTGCAATGAAGGGGCTTTGGGTAATTCCTATTGTGACTGAGGCAGTGGTGAAATGTAACATTTGTTATTACCAGTTCTGTGGGTATGGCTAGGTGGGGGGGGGTAATGTGACTGGGTGGGCGTGGCCAACTTTTTTTTAAAAAAAGCATTTTTTTACAACCTCTTCAGCCTCTGACGATCCCATTTTTTCGGCTGAAGAGGTTGTAGAAAAGAAAAAATTCTTTTAAAAGTAAAAAAAAAAAAGCCTCTGATGATCGTGTGGCTCATCTGGGCAAGGGGGGGGGCTCAGGGATTTTTGCTACCTGTTCTCCGAACCACCCACCGCCATCGCTACCGGATCGCCCGAACCGGGAGCATTTCACCCCTGGACTGAGGGCTAATCCTATCTTTGTTGGATCTTGGGTGAGGGAATTTGCTTATGAATAGAGCTAGCTATCTTTTTATCTCTTAATTGCTGACATCTGCTGAGGGCTATTAAGAAAGATGGAGGCTCTTTCCAAGAGCATGTTTCTCCATTTCTCATCCAGGGAAATATAACATTCTGCCTTTTTAATATTTCTCAAAATATTTCATTCTTCTAAGGAGAGGGGTGGGTGCTAACTTTCTACAAAAGTAAGAGGGTTTTTTTTGTGTGTGTCCGAGGACTGTATTTAACAGCTTTGGGGGTAGAGGTATTTCAGAGGTATCTGGAGCTGGGATTTTAATTTTCATTTCCCCCCCCCCCACAGACACACACACCCTTGCTGGCTTGGGAATTCTGGGAGTTGAAGTCCACTTGTCATATAGATCAGGGGTTCCCAACCCCTGGTCCTTGGATCAGCACCGGGTTGTGGCATGCCAAAAACCAGGCTTCACAAACAAGTGAAGCCCCAACTGCAGGAAGCAGGCAGCATCCAAAATCACGCCCCTCCTGTCCGCGGAAAAACCTCTCTCCATGGAACCAGTTTCTGGTGTCCCAAACTTTGGGGGCCAGTGCTATAGAGAGTAAGGAAGGTGATCTTAATGGAAGTCTGTAATAACAATTACCTAGGTCAGTGGTTCTCAATCTGTGGTCCACGGACTTCGGGGGGGGGGCATGATGTCACAGGGGCTCCGCGACGGCTTGTAGAAATGTTATGATTTAAATCTTGAGTTAAGTCTTGGCGGTCCGTGGCCATAGTCTGTGGTCACAAAAAATATTTAAAACTGGTCCATGGTGAAGAAAAGGTTGAGAACCACTAACCTAGGTAAAAGGGCCCAAAACATTTTTGAAGTCCAGAGCAACAAGATAACATTCAGAAGCGATTCAGGCAGACACGTTCCTGATTCACTGGTGTATAAGAGGGAGAGGAGGGATGGCCCAGATTTATTGTTATAGCCCATCTCAATAAAAATTAGTTTTAGTCGTCTTATGAAGTTGATTTCCTGATCTGGTTTATGTAGTAGGGCTAGCAGTTTGGTACCTCAAAATGTAAAAAGCCAGGAGTCTGACTTTTGACAATAGAATAGGATGGGGTGGGGTGGGGTGATGTGGAGTGGAATGGAATGGAATGGAATGGAATGGAATGGAATGGAATAGAATAGAATAGAATAGAATAGAATAGAATAGAATAGAATAGAATAGAATAGGCTTTATTTGGCCAAGTGTGAATAGACACACAAGGAATTTGTGTATAGGTAGTCCTCGACTTACAACAGTTCATTTAGTGACTGTTCAAAGTTACAACAGTAGTTGTACTTAAAAAAGTAACTTGCAACCATTTTTCACACTTACAATTTTTGGAGCATCCCCATGATCATGAGATTCGGATGCTTGGCAACTGGTTCATACTTATGACCGTTGATGGGTCCCAGGGTCATATGATCCCCTTCTGCAACCTTTTGACAAGCAAAACCAATGGGGGAAGCGAGATTCATTTAACAACCATGTTACTTACCTTATCAGCTGCAGTGATTCCCTTAACAACTGTGACAAAAAAGGACGTAAAATGGGACGAAACTCATTTAACAAATGTTTCACTTAACAACAGAAATTTTGGGCTCAGTTGTGGTTGTAAATCAAGGACTACATGTAGTCCATAGTAATCCACAGTAGTCCATAGAAGGTATCCAGGACCACAGAAAAAAGACTCAGATGGTGCATTTTTCTCTGACATATTAGTAGGAATTTCTGAAATTAAAAGGAGAGGCTGTTTTTATTTCTAGTGAGAAGGCATCTGTGAGTTACAGATAGTCTTCGACTTATGACCACATTGGAGCCAGGATTTTTGTCGCTAAGCAAGGCAGTTGTTAAGATTTTATGATCTTTTATTTTTGCCACAAATAAGTGAATCACTATAGTTGTTAAGTGAATCATGCAGTCATTAAATGAATCTGGCTTCCCGCATTAACTTTGTCAAAAACCAGCTGGAAAGGTCATAAATGATGATCACATCATCTCAGGAATGTTATAACCATCAAAAATACACACTAGTGGTCAAACACCCAAATTTTGATCAGGTGATCGTGGGGATGCTGAGATGGTCTTAAATTTGAGGACTGGCCGTAAATCACATTTTTCAGTGCCATTGTAACTCGAATGGTTGCTAAATGAATGGCGGTTTTAATCTCTTTGAATAAGCTGTGTTAAACGGAATTTTGGGAGTTGAAGTCCGCAAGTCTTAAAGTTGCCAAGCTTGGAGGCCCCTGCCATAGATGAACACAATTACCATAAAAGAACACAACAAATGCCTTAATTTTAATGCCAGTTGTTATTGATTGTGAATGATCTTCACTATAAACATCAACCTGGGCTCTGCAACAACCTTCAATGACACAATGACGGTCACTTTAGGAGACAGGGAAATGTTAAAAAACTTCCAGAAACCACACTGAGAAAGATTGTTTCCCTTAAAATGTCCAACTTTTAGGAAGCCCAGAAACAGGGGGGACTCCCATTTTTCAAGGAAACATTTTACACATATACACAAACACGCTGCAGATACTACTTTTGTTGAAGGGGCTTCTTCGAAAGGAAGTTTGAAATCCTTATCTAGCGCCGGCTTGCCAGATCAAATTCTTGTGTAGTGGTACGGTAGCATATAATATGAACTTTTTGCGCTTTGAACTCTACTCCTCTTCCTGGTTTACTTGCACCCAAGATGTTCTCTTTCCGAGACCCATGAAGGAGGAAATGGCCAAACCACTTCTGAAAAATCTTGCCGAGATCTCTGGGTCAGCAACTCCATTGGTGACCTTTCTGACAAAACCTTTGCACGTAGCTGGTCAGGCTTGTAGGCCTTGCTGCATCTGGCTTCATTCTTGCACGCCCAGCCAAGCGGCCTACAAGTCGCTCAAAATTTGGATAGATTTTTTTTTCCCAGGTGGTTATGCTGTGCAGAGGGAGCAAGCAGAATCGGGGGGGGCTGCTGGAGGACTGCACCCCTTCCTTGGAAGGGATCACAGGACGGAGGGGTGCTGGAGGAGAGAAAGGGAGGGGAGCCTCACAACCTGGTCTGGGTGTTGTTGGAAAGCTCCTCCTCCTCTTGCATGACTTGTTCAGCTCCGGCAGTTTCCACTGCGAGTCATCTGATGCCTTGTCTCGGTTCTTACTATATGCTTATCCAAGTCAACACACAGGGCTTAGTACTGGTAGCATTTCCCACCACGCACAAACCTAGTTAAGTTTTAACGTGGCTTGTTGTTTTGCTTTGTTGTAACGCGCAGGCCCATCCTTCTGGAGAAACGTTGGTTCAAGTGGATTGTGCAAAATCAGAAAAGGGGGGGAGCTTGATAATTGTGGGGCATGAATTCATCCAATGTTGTTGTTTTTGTTTCCTCCTCCTTCTCTTCCTCCTCATCTTCCTGCTCTTCCTCCTTCTCCTCCTGTTCCACCTCCTCCTCCTCCTCCTCCTGTTCCCCCTCCTCCTCCTCCTCCTCCTATTCCTCCTTCTCCTCCTGTTCCTCCTCCTCCTCTTCCTCCTCTTCCTCCTGTTCCACTACCACCTCCTCCTCCTCCTCCTCCTCTTCCTCCTTCTCCTCCTCTTCTTCCTCCTCCTCTTCCTCCTGTTCCACTACCACCTCCTCCTTCTCCTCCTCTTCTTCCTCCTCCTCTTCCTCCTGTTCCTCCTCTTCTTCCTTCTCTTCCTTCTCCTCCTTCTCCTCCTTCTTCTCCTTCTCCTCCGTCTTCTTCTCCTTCCTCTTCTTCTCCTTCCTTTTGCACAGTCTTTTTCTCTTCTCTGACTTCCCTCCAGGCTGAAGAGTTTTTCGACATGGTGGCCACAATCCAGGCCCGGAGGCTCAACGACCAGCGGGCGGATTTTGCAGGGCCTGAAGTTGCCAGCGAAGAGAATTCTGGGATATCAGAAGACCAACTCTATGACACTATTCTAGCTCACCAGGTATGTATGTGCCATTGATCCTCCAACCTCCCGTCCTCTTGGAGGACTCCTTTTTTTTTTTCCAGGATCATTCTCCTTCCAAACACTAAAAATTGTAGAATTTACGATTTAAGTTGTTGTAATGAGATGGTTTTACAGCTTTATAAACCCTAGTTTTATAGTTGCAGTCCTCTTATGATTCTCTCCTTTGGAATTACCGTGGTGCAAAGGGAAAAAAGGTACTGTCATTTATGCAAAAAATAATAAATGAATAATAATTCCAGGGTGAGGATCTATTTATTTAATTCATTTCTAAGGATTCCCCCTCACCAGCCACTCTGGGCAGTATATGAAAGGATAAATAAACTGACTGTAACAATACAAGACATCCAAGCTGAGAAGGAAAAGCAAAATCAATATAGAACAGTTAACAATGACAATTACATCACCGTTACAGAACCACACACACACACCTTCAGGATAGAAATGCCATTGTTTATTTAAACAAAATTTGCATGGGAAGGATCCATCAGGAGTAAGGTTTCTGGAGATTTGGTAAAACTTCACATTTTGCAGAAAAACTGAAGGATTTTTGAGAAAAACAAAAATAGCCCAAACTAGTCCAAATGCCCAAATGAGGAATATCTACTCAGCATTCCTTAGGTTTTCATTTTATTGCAGTTTTCATTTTTTATGTCAGGAATATGTTCAGAGAGGTTAGCAGTGCAAATTAGAAAAGAAAAATATTGTCAATTGTGGCAGCAAGATAGAATGAATTTGCCGCAGGAAATGTGAGAGCAGACTTTGCTTCTCTGTCTATTATTGCGTGGGGGTAATCTACAATTAAATTCACAGTCTGTTGAGGGTGAAAACTTAATAATTCAAGTCCACCAAGGACCTAAGAATGATTAAGGTAGCGGTTGAAGAAATAGGCAGTTCCAAGCAAGATAATTTTTATTGTAAAATTAAAAATTTTACATTTGATAAATTCGAAATTTCCCTCCAATATTAAACCTCTTCAAGGACTCCAATCATGATTGAAGGATTAAAAGAGGATTTCTTTTTCTTAAAAATTCATTATTATTAATCCATAAGTATTTGGTCACACAGTTTATAGGTATCAGTCATGTGATGTTTTTACCGTATGGCGTAAGGAAGGGGTTTTCAAACTTTTTCAGGTCATAGAAACTGTTAGGGTTTTGTTTTTTTTAAAAAAAAAACAGAATCAAGAGGCAAAGCCAACTCTATAGAACCGTGATTACGAACCTGTGGCACACGGAGCCATATCTGCGTGTGCCACAGGACTGGAAGTCAAGAAACAGGCTGTTTCCGGCCTCCGGAGGGCCTCTGGAGGGTTGGGGAAGGCTGTTTTTGCCCTCCCCAGGCTCCTAGAAAGCCTCTGGAGCCTGGGGAGGGCAAAAACCGGGCCTATTGGGCCCACCATGCTATCGCATGCCAAAAGTGGGGGGGGGGGGTTCCCGATGGAAGGCGGGGGGGGGGGGGGGGTGGATTGAATTATGGGTGTGGGCAAAAAATTAATTAAAAAAAAATATGGGTGTGGGCACGCACGAGCGCTCCCCCCCGCTTTTGGCACGCAACGGCAAAAAGGTTAGCCATAACTACTATAGAACAACCAGAATGATGCTTTCTTGAGATACAGGCAGTCTTCAACTTACAACCATAATGGACCCTTCCCATTCCAGTCATAAATCATGATGGTCATAAAGTGCGTCACCCATAGGACCAACCTAATTTTCCAACCTTTTTTGTGGTGGCCTTTCAACGAGCCCATTGCAAATGGCCGTAAATGCGGGCCTGTTGCCAAGTGCCCAAAATGCAGTCATATGACTGGGGGACAGATATCAAAACTTTGGAACCGGATGATATCTTTTGGGGGGGTCCATTGTAACTGTAAATGTTTGCTAAACAACTGGTCATAAGTTGAGGACTCCTTGTAGGCTATAATAACAACATCTCGCAAGCCTACCCATGTCCCAAAGGTGCTTTTTCAAGAGGCAACTGGACTTTCTTGTTTTTCTTTGAAGACATTTCGCTTCTCATCCAAGAAGCTTCTTCAGCTCTGAGAAGCTCTGAGAAGAGCTGAAGAAGCTTCTTGGATGAAAAGCGAAACGTCTTCAAAGAAAAAACAAGAAAATCCAGTTACCTCTTGAAAAAAGCTCCTTTGGGAGACCTGTGACCTGAATGACTGAGAATCTCCATAGACAGACTGCCCGTGTCTTTTCTTCCCTCCTTCTTATACAGATAGTCCTTGATTTAGAATCACAATTCAGCCCAAAATTTCTGTTGCTAAGCAAGACAGTTGTTAAGGGAATTTTGAAACCTTTCTTGCCAGAGTTGTTAAGTGAATCACCAGAGTTCTTAACTTAGCAACCTGGTTGTTAATGAATCTGGCATCCCCATTGACTTTGTTTGTCAGAAAGTCGCCAAAGTTAATCACATGACTAGAACATTGCAACCGTCGTAAATATGAACCAGTTGCCAAGCATCAGAATTTTGATAAAGATAATCATGAGGATGCTGCAACGGTCGTGTGGAAAATGCTCATAAGTCACTTTTTTCAATGCTGTTGTAACTTTGAGCTGTCACTAAACGAAGGGTTGTAACAGTGGTGAAATTCAAATTTTTTTACTACCGGTTCCATGGGCGTGGATTGGTGGGCGTGGCAGGGGAAGGATACTGCAGAATCCCCATTCCCTCCCCTCTCCTGGGTTAAGGATACTGCAAAATCTCCATTCCCACCCCACTCTGGGGCCAGCCAGAGGTAGTATCTGCCGGTTCTCCGAACGACTCAAAATTTCTGCTACTGTTCTCCAGAACCTGTCAGAACCTGCTGGATTTCATCCCTGGGCTGTAAATTGAGGATTACCTATACCACAATGGGTTTTTATGAGTCTCTGGAATATTCTCTCCCCTCTCTGGATTCCAGTTTTTGGTTAAGTTGTTTTCCCCCCCCCCCCCCCCCCAAAAGCTTCTAGATTCCTTCTCTGAAGTCAACCTCTTGGCTCCCTACACACGGTCTGAGTAACCCAATATAAACTATGTATGTCTGAAGCAGCACATGAGGTGGCAAATAAATTATTATTATTATTATTATTATTATTATTATTATTATTATTATTATTATTATTATTATTATTATTATTATTATTAATTGAATTTGTATACCGCCCTACTCCCGAAGGACTCAGGGCGGTGAACAGCCAGATAAAACACATATAATACAAATGTTAAAAAGCATTAAAATATAATTAAATAATTTGGCCCGAAAAACGAAATTTAAAACACCCCAAATTCTTAAGACAAATTTAAAATTTAAATTTTTTAAAAAGTTTAAAAGTTTAAACTTATCTCACATAAATTTATTCTTTGGGGAGGATTCGCTAACCAATAAAATTTGTCAGATGTGGGTTTTATTGGATGCATTCATAGGGTCTGCAAATGTTTAGTTTTATGATTCAATGAGCCTGAGCTGGAAACAATTTCAGAGTCGTCTTCTTCATCTAGCAGCAGTGAATTTTATGAAACAAGAGAATAAACTAAATGTGACTGTGTATAATAAATATAGCTATGTAACTGTTCGAACAATTTACTGCTTCTTGGAGAGTTATCTATTTCAGATGCATACGTCCATTGCTTTTAAAAACCTTAAAACTACACAAATTGCTCTTTTGTGTGTTTGCCTCTGTGTGTGTGTATAAAAAACAAACATAGACCTTCATTCCTGCCTTCCCCCCCCCCTTCTTTTTCATCTGCTGAGGGCAGTCAGTGAGGGCTATGAGAAAAATACCTCAAGAATATGGATAGGGTTGGGCTATCTTTCATTTAAACTCCCAAAAGTGCTTTTTCAAGAGGCAGCTGGACTTTTGGGGTTTTCTTTGAAGATGTTTGGCTTCTCATCTAAGAAGCTTTTTCCGCTCTGGGAAGTTTCTTGGATGAGAAGCGACATGTCTTCAAGGAAAAACCAGAAAGTCCAGTTGCCTCTTGAAAAAGTACCTTTGGGACATGGGTAGACTTGCAAGATTTTATTATTATAGCCTACCAGAAGTCCTCAACTTTTGACCAGTTGTTTAGCAAACATTTACAGTTGCAATGGAAAGATATCACCCGGTTCCAAAGTTTTGATGCCTGTCCCCCCAGTCATATGACTGCATTTTGGAAAACTCTTGGAAAAAGCACCTTTGGGACAACCATGACCTGGATGATGGAGAAACTCCATAGATTTTCATTTGAAGCAGATTCTTCTTAGATTTTCATCTACATTAAACCTGCGGGTGGCCCAGTGCAGGGACCTCTCTGGAGGGTCAATAAATAAATAAATAAATAAATCAAGAGGAGAGCTCCGAACGCATGTTTGAGGCTGTCCACTGGACTTCATTTGCATCTATCTTAAGAGGGTCAGCTTAACCCAGCTCATCGCTTTGTTTCATTTCCCACTAAAAAAAACCCCAATGTGAAATATTTATTTATTTATTTATTTATTTATTTATTTATTTATTTATTTATGTAATTTATATGCCGCCCTTCTCCCGAAGGACTCAGGGCAGCTTACCAGAAGGAACAAAGAATTACATAAACATTAAAATCAATTTAATGTTGACTGAAGAGCTTGTAGAAAAAAATGCTTTGAAAAGCCTCTGATGTTCCCAGCTGAGCTGCGGGATCATCAGAGGCTTTTTTTTTTTTTTTAAAGCATTTTTTCGGCTGAAGAGGTTGTAGAAAAATGCTTTTAAAAGTAAAAAAAAAAAAAAAAGCCACTGATGAGGTGGGCGGGGTAAGTGAGCAGCGACCGGGCCGGGGACCGGTTCGGGGGCGTGGCCAGCCAATTTTATTACCGGTTCTCGGAACTACTACAAATTTTTACTACCGGTTCTTGTGAACCGGTGCAAACCGGGAGCAACCCACTACTGAAGCCAGTGGCGAAATCCAAATTTTTTTATTACCGGTTCTGTGGGCATGGTGTGGCTTGGTGGGCATGGCAGGGGAAATATACTGCAAAATCTCCATTCCTACCGCACTCCAGGGGAAGGATACTGCAAAATCTCCATTCCAACCCCACTCTGGGGCCAGCCAGAGGTGGTATTTGCCGGTTCTCCAAACTACTAAATTTCCGCTGCCGGTTCTCCAGAACCCGTCAGAACCTGCTGGATTTCACCCCTGGAACAAGCCATTTCTATAAAGATCTATCAGTCTAACCGGTAAAACCCAAAATCAAAGTATCTTTTGCAACCCTCTGACAAGCAAAGTTAACGGGGAAAGCCAGTTTCAAGGTACTAGCTGAACAACTGCAGTGAAGGAAGGTCGTAAAATGGAGCAAAACTCATGTAGCAAATGTCTCGCTTAGTGACAGAACTTTTGGGCTCAATTGTGGGTGTAAGTCGAGGATTACCTGTAGCCTCTAACTCCTTCTCCCTCTTCTGCAGAGCCAGCGTCTTGAGGATCAGCGCACGGAGCCTCCTATCCCAGTGGGAATTCAAGGGCTGCTGGATTTATTGCTCACAGCTCAAGGGACCCGGATGGAAGATCAGCGCTCTACCCTTCCTCCGGGCCTTGCTGGCCCACCCTTGCTAGGAAGACAGCCCTCCTTTCTACAGTATGAAACTCCTCCTTCCTTCATGGTTTCGGAGTTCAAATGACTTTTGACCTGGTCAGAAGCTGGAACTGGGTTGATCTCAACAGTGGGGAACTGAAAATCAAACAGTGTTGGAAGACTTCGTGCAGGAAAGATACCACGCTTTGCAAGAAAAGGATGAGGAAAAACTCATGTTCCAGCACAAACACAGCTTTGCAAGTGGCTAATTTTTTACTGGCTATGAACATGTACTTGATGCTCTCTGAGCTTGTTGTTTTCCTCGCAGACGTTTCATTGCCAAACTAGGTAACGTCATCAATGCTGGAAGGGGGGTGGGGTTGACATCTATCCTTTCTAATACTTGGTGGAGACTCCGCTCCTCCCTCTCTGCCTCCTCCCTGCCAAAAGCCCATGGTGACAGTACAGGTACTCCTCGACTCACAACCACCATTGGGACTGAAACTTCTGTCGCTAAGCGAGATGGTCATTAAGTGAGTCGTGCCTGATTTTACCTTTTTGCCATAGTCATGAAGCAAATCACACAGTCATTAAGCAAATTTGACTTTCTCCATTGACTTTGCTTGCCGGACATCCCCTGGGAAGGCAATCGTGACACACAAACACAGACACACACCGGATTCTACAACTATTGTAAACATGTCAGTTCCCAAGCACTCAAACTTTGATCACATGAACACATGGATGCTGCAATGGTCATAAGTTCAAGGACCAGTTGTAAATCACTTTTTTCAGCACCGTTTTAACTTTGAACGGTCACTATCTAAATTGTAAGTCGAAGACTTAAACGTATTTAGAGGACCAATGAAAAGTCACAGCGTTGCCATGATTTTTAACGGTTTAGGGGCAGCATGAAAAGGAATGTACCGCTGATTAAGGGCATGGGAAAATCTCTTTTTGCAATACACGGGAGTCTTAAGATGCTATGAGACTGTGGATTTAAGCCAATGGTGAAATTCAAATTTTTTTTACTACTGGTTCTGTGGGTGTGGCTTGGTGGGCGTGGCTTGGTGGGCGTGGCAGGGGAAGGATACTGCAAAATCTCCATTCCCACCCCACACCAGGGGAACGATACTGCAAAATCTCCATTCCCACCCCATTCTGGGGCCAGCCAGAGGTGGTATTTGCCAGTTCTCCAAACTATTCAAAATTTCCGCTACCAGTTCTCCAGAACCGGCTGGATTTCATCCCTGATTTAAGCTTAGTATGTTTATCCCAAAAGCACTATGCATAACGTCTCAGGTACTTCGTCCCTGCAGTGAAAGAGCTCTCATGTTAGCACTTTTCTTAAATAATTTGATGTTTAGTGCAATGTTTCTGAATCCGGAACCCTCCAATTGTCCTGCTCAAAGCCATCCTAGGGAAATAGTTCAATAGGTCTAGCAAATTAGACCTAAGAGTTTATTTGAAAACGACAAAATAAATGTAGCTGCTTTCATTTGCCTGCGAAGAAAAGAGACAGGCTGATAGTCTTCTAATTCTTAAACATATTATGGGATCCTGTTTTATTTAAGAATTGCTAGAGAATCCTGCTGGGTCTGGCCGTTAACCCATGCAAACCAGCATTCTGAGTCACACAGTGGGCCTATTGGCTGTGTTGGGGAAGCTCACAAGCCTAGATTGGAGAGCGAGCGCCTTCTTCACCTCTTTCTCCCTAGTCACGGGACTTTTCAGATCTTGGGCCCCATGCCAGTCTCTCACACAATGTCTAGGTAGGGAATCTCTGCTGTGAGATGGACAGCCATGTAAATTCCTTTAATAATTAAACTCTAGGTACGTCCCATTCCAAATATATATATATATATTTAAAAAAAGGACGGTTGAAATGACATAGTATTACTGTTTGGAGGAATACGGTGTTCGTGCACAAGGGAAGTTTTGAAATTTATAACATTTGAAGGGAAGGCATTAAAACAGAGTTGCTCAACCTTGACAGATGTAAGACAGGTGGACTTCAACACCCAGAATTCCCCAGCCAATGTGGCTAGCTGGGGAATTCTGAAAGTTGAAGTCTACTTATCTTAAAGTTGCCACAGATGAAAAACTTTAACTCAATGCAATGTATTGCGTGCAGTTCACTTGTTTGTTTCTAGCATGGTGTTTCTCAACCGTGGCAACTTTAAGATGTGTAGACTTAAACTCCCAGCTGGGGAATTCTGGGAGTTGAAGTCCACACATCTTAAAAGTCACCAGGGTTGAGACATTCTCTGTTAGAATCAACCCGCGAGAGGTATGATGTATAAATCAGCACCTGCAGATGCTATGTTGTTCTGCAGTCTGATTTTTACTCTCAATATCTTGAGAGTATAATTCCCCAAATTCAAGGTGATGTTATCCTAATGTATCTAGATTTAAAGGCTATGGAGCGGGGGACTCTTGAGTTCCACATTTTCTATTTGTAATTGCCTGGAAGTGGAACCGTAATTGAATTTTCTCACCAATTAAACTACTTCTCCCCCAAACATATTTAGCACATAAAAGCTAACAAAACCTGCAGCTGTTGACTGCTTCTCATTCTCCATGCACAATTGCGCTTTAACGCGGTCGTAATAAATTTTGTTGCGAAGCTACGGTGTTGTGTTTCTCTGCAAGAGAGAGTTCAAGCATGGGTGAGCATGTGGTAGAAAAGTGAATCAGGAACGAACAAATGGGTGATGCTAAACCATTAAAAATTCCCGTAACTTTTAACTGGGCAAAATGGTACCTCATAGGGCAACAATTTTTTAACCAAGGTACCTCAAATGGACTAATTTATAGAATGCATCCAAAACGACTCCTCTGGATTTGAAATTCGGAAATGTTATTAAATATTTCATGACATAAAAATGATCGTAAAAGCTTAGGCCATAATACAAAACATTATAAAACATTTCCTTTTGTTAATGTTTGATTGCTGGATAGTTCAGTACAGTCTACTTTCAAGGCAGAGACATCTCTTGAAGGTCTCCCTGGATTTTTAGAGAATTTTTAAAGTATATTAGAAGCTCTGCCATTGTTGAAGACATTGAGAGATCTGGTCAAGAAATATCTTTGAAAAATATCAATATCATTATTATTTTCCTGTTAGACAACTAAGATGTCACAGGTTGTCTAATAGGGAAATAATAATAGATATTGTGCCTCTGTTTGCTTAGAATGATACAAGCCCTGATTCCTGATTTATTTAGAACGAGTGATGTATGGGTGTAAGCAAACTACACAGCTCAAAAAAATAAAGGGAACACGAGCAGAAGACATCCAAGATCTGAATGAATGAAATAGCCTTATTAAATACTTTGTTCGTTACATACAGTAGTTTTGTGTTCCCTTTAGTTGTTTGAGCAGTGTATAAATTACTGTATGTAAAGAACAAAGTATTTAATAAGGCTATTTCATTCATTCAGATCTCGAATGTCTTCTGCTTGTGTTCCCTTTATTATTTTGAGCAGTATATTTATTCTCATTTTGTTCCAGATAAACTAGAAATGCCTTGCTTCAAATTCTATCTGAACCTGGATTCCTCTTTTTTTAGAACAAGTTAAGATTAGGAACAGAATTAATTTAGAGATAGTAATGCGTTTATCACAATTCTAAATTATATCTAGTATCTTCATCCACTTGCATGAATGAGAGAGGTAAAACAAGAATGAAAAAACTCTGTGGACTATTATACAGTACTATAGTCCACAGTGGACTATTATACTATAGTCCACTGTGGACTATATAAACTGGAATAATTTAGGCTTATTCTATCTGAATGTAGCTAGTTAACACACATTTAAAAACAGGCAGTGTTTCAATCATATTGTTGCCGCTGCCATTTTGCCTTTTTTGAGCATATCTCATAGCAGCCCTTTACAGATGTGTAAAAAGAAGATAGGAATTTACCACATATTAGAATTGCTTGTGGATTATCGATGGCTACAGATAGTCCTCGATTTACAGCAATAATTGAGCCTGGAATTATGATTGTAAATCAAGGTGGTCATTAAGGGAGTCACCACATGATTTTGCAGTGGTCATTAAATGAACTCATGGCCATTATGATCCATCATAATTCTGAACAGTCACTAAGCTACTGGTCGTAAGGTGAGGACTACCTGTACTTGACCAAACCACTTCTTCTGAGGTAAAAATTAGTGGGGAAAACAATAAAACTGATTGTGAAAAGCAAAATAAATGGGGGATGGATTTGACTCCTCAATCTGCCCCCATTGAGTTGCAGAACACAAAATGATTTTGTTTTCCCAGAGTGACTTTCATTCTTCTCATCTGAGAATTTGAACATGAACTGACTGGATTTAAATGTAATTTTGGGAAATAAAGTGCATTTAATACACACACACACTAATTGTACCCCCAAGACCTTAAATACAGGTAGTCCTCAACTTATGACCACAATTGAGCCCAAAATTTATGTTGCTCAGTGAGAAATGTGTTAAGTGAATTTTGCCCCATTTTACGACTTTTCTTCCCACATTTGTTAAGTGAATCACTGCAGTCGTTAAATTAGTAATACCGTTGTTAAGTGAATCTGGTTTCCCCCTTGACTGCTCGTCAGAAGGTCGCAAAAGGGAATCACATGACCCTGGGACACTGCAACAGTCATAAATGTGAGTCAGTTGTCAAGCATCTGAACATAAATCACGTGACCATGGGGATGTTGCAATGGTTATAAGTGTGAAAAATGGTCATAAGTCACTTTTTCCAGTGCCGTGGTAACGTCGAACAGTCACTAAATGAACTGTTGTAAGTGAAGGACTACCTGTATTGTTTAATGCCTCTTAAGGGAGTTTTGGCCAAAATGAGGGGTGGTCGGTTGCTTTTTACGAATGACTTCAGCTCTCTAAAGCAGGGGTGTCAAACTCGCAACGACATGTTGTCGTCATGTGACGCATCACAACTTTTTTCCCCCTTTGCTAAAATGGGGGTAGGCGTGACCAGAGTGTGACGCATCTGACCTGCGGGCCGCGAGTTTGACACCCTTGCTGTAAAGGGTCGTGCAAACCCTTGCAAACTAAGGGGGAAAAAAATAAATAAATAAAGTGGATGCTACTTTAGATTAATTAAATATAGATAACACAATTGCTCCCTGTATTGAATTCTTTAAAGCCTCTGTCACATTAAAATTGCATTTGGGGGCCTCCTTTGGGAGGGAGCCTTTTCTTCAAAAGCAGTAGCTGCTGCAAGTCGGTTGTAGGCAAAACTCTTAATCTAAATTATTTACATTTTTTACAAGGCCACCTATCTCAAAGTGTAGGTAGCCCTTTGACCTATGACCGGTTGCTTAGCAATCACTACGGACCACTCAAAAGGTATTAGGACTTGGTTTCAAAGTTCCGACAGCTGCCCCGCAGTCACATGACTCCATTTTGGACACTCAGCGAACAGCCCGCATTTATGGCCTTTTGCTGCACCGAGTCACGTGACCGCAATTTATGACATTTTTGGAGAAAACCAGCATTTCCTTCAGCAAAAACAGCCCATAGTGAACAATGGACTTGCTTTATGGACGTGGTATTTGCTTACTGAACACTGCAATTAAAAAAAAGGTGATTAAAAACAGCTCCAGTCATGTGGTAACCCACTTGTGACATTTAGTGGGATAGGGGATAAAACTGAAGCAGGATAAAGATGAGTCGTTTAGAATAGAATGAGCTGGAAGGGACTTTGAAGGTCTTCTAGTCCAGCTCCCTGCTCAAGCAGGAGAAACTATACCAGGGGTGAAATGCTCCCGGTTCGGACCGGATCGCCCGATCCAATAGCGATGGAGGCAGGTGGTTCGGAGAACCGGTAGCAAAAATCCCTGGTCCCCCCCCCATGTCCAGCTGAGCTGCACAATCATCAGACGCTTTTTCTTTTAATTTTTAAAAGCATTTTTTCTACAACCTCTTCGGCCAAAAAAATGCTTTTAAAAGTAAAAAAAAAAAGCCTCTGATGATCGCGCGGCTCAGCTGGGATCGTCAAAGGGATCGTCAGCTGATGATCCCAGCTGAGTTGCCTGGTCGGCAGAAGCCTTTTTCTTTTAAATGCCTCTGACGATCCCAGCTGAGTTGCCTGATCAACAGAGGCTTTTAAAAGAAAAAAAAGCCTCTGGCGATCAGGCAACTCAGCTGGGATCGTCAGAGCCTTTTGAAAGCGTTTTTTGGCAACCTCTTCACCGAAGAGGTTGTAGAAAAAATGGTTTTAAAAGAAAAAAAAATTGGCCACGCCCACTGTCACATTACCCCCCCAAGCCACACCCACAGAACCGGTACTAACAAATTTTAGATTTCACCACCGAACTATACCCGTGATGGCGAAGCTATGGCATGTGTGCCAGAAGTGGCACACAGAGCCATCTCTCTGGGCAAGCAAGCTGTCAGCTGTTGCTCTTCCGGGTTGCGGCGTGCCGGCCAGCTGATCTTCATGCGCATGTGTGTGCCGGAAATCAGAAGAACAACTGCCCGGTGTGCATGCGCGCACTGGGAAGATGATCTTCTGGTTTCCAGCATGCGTGCATGTGCACCAGCCACCTAGTCTTCCGGTTTCTGGTGCGTGTGCGTGCATGAAGACCAGCTGATCGGCGTGCTGGAACCCAGAAGAGTAACAGGCGATGGCTCGCATGCCCGGAGAGATGGCTCTGCATGCCACTTTTGGCACACATGCCATAGGTTCGCCATCATGTATATAGGTTCTCCTGCTTGAGCAGGGGGCTGGACTGGGTGACTGCTCTTCCCGTTTCCGGCACACACGCTTGCTCCCATTTCAGCACTCGGTGCCAAAAAGGTTCACCAACAGTGACTTACACCATTTTAGGTAAGTGACTGTCTCTAGGCAAGGGGTCAGCAACCTGCAGCTCTGGAGCCACATGTGGCTCTTTCATCCCTCTGCTGCGGCTCCCTCTGCTGGTCGGCTCCACAATTGATAGGGATTTAGGTTAGGACAGGTAGAGGAAAAAGGATGCCACGCTAGGAGGAGACTCTATGGTGGGGGAATTGGACTTCCGGTCAGCAGAGGAAAAAGGATGCCGTGCTAGGAGGAGACTATGATGTAGGAACCGGACTTCCGGTCAGCTCCAGAATTGAATGGGGGCTTCCGGTTAGGACCTTTGTGGCTCTTTGAGCGTTTAAGGTTGCCGACCCCTGCTCTAGGTTCTTCTTAAAAAGTCGTTAAAGGACATTGTTGGAAGGAAAATCTGTCTGGTTCAGTTCCAAGCTGGGAGAAAGACGCTGGAAACAACATGGAGGCTGATTGGAAAGAAAGTTTATTGATAACGGAATCACACACACAAAGACAGAGCACAGTTCTGGGTCAGCCGAACAAATAGTTGAATGAATGGATGGATCTTTATAGGTTTCCGTGACATTGAAGTCTGAGCTGTTCTGAGGGGTGGTGCAATGAAGGGACTTGTGTTCTGAAAAGATGTTGAGCAATTCCTGTTGTGGCTAATGGCTTTCGTCCTGTGTTGGATCTTGGGTAAGGGGCTACATGTTCTAATCCTACCATTCTGCTTTTGTTAGCTGCCAAACTTTGCTGCAAGGAGTTTCGAAATATCCTGTCTCCAATGGATTTCTGCCTCTGCGGTGTTTGCTTTGCTTATGAATAGAGC